ACATGGGGGGGGGGAGGAGCACGGGGGAGGGTCTCTGGAGCGCCTTAAGGAGGGGGCGACCAGGGAACTTTCAAAGGGGAGGAGGATTCTCTGGTCAGTCTGCAAACGATGCGTCCAGGTAAATCCACCTGCGGCTTCAGCCCACCTCTCCCCCCCCACCCCCCCGCCCCCCGATCCCCCCCCCCCCCCCCCCCCCCCCCCAGCCACAGGCCCTCCGCCAACCTCTCTTGTAGCTGGTGCAGCGTCTGCCAGTCTGAGCCCTTGGGGCCTTGAGGTCTCGTGGGGCTGTCGGGACAAACCCTGTGTGTGCAGGGGGGGTGGGATTGGGTGTGTGTGTGTGCAATTAGAGGAGAGAGTCCACCCAGAGGAGAAGAGGACCCTCTGTCCATCCATGCTGCTCCTCCTTCCTCTCGCTTGGACTCTGGTCTTGCAGGGATCATGAGGCCGGGGGGTGGGGGGGGAGAGGTGGGCTGAAGCCGCAGGTGGATTTACCTGGACGCATCGTTTGCAGACTGACCAGAGAATCCTCCTCCCCTTTGAAAGTTCCCTGGTCGCCCCCTCCTTAAGGCGCTCCAGAGACCCTCCCCCGTGCTCCTCCCCCCCCCCATGTGCCAGGAGGGTTCCCTGACCCCCCCTTCCTGGACCCCCCCCTTCCCTTCCTCCTGAGGAGGCTACAGACCCTCTCCTCTCTCCCCAGGGCTGCTGCTGTCCAGTTGCTTCGTTGGCCTGGGGGCACCTGGGGGTGGGCTGTGCACAGAACCGAGCCGGAGCCCGTGATGGTGGGAGCCATCCCCCGGCAGCCGCGCCGCTTCTGGGGAGTGGCCGGGTGGCAGGTGTCCCCAGCCAGCTTCACCAGTCACCGTCGGCCGCTGCAGCAGGAGGACACGCCGGCCAGGGGACGGGACCCCGTGCAGTGGGGTGAGTGGGCAGCTCCGGGGGCAAACTGTTGGGTGGGGCTGTAGACTTTGCAAGTGGGGCTGGAGGGTCGGGAAGGCCTTGGCCCCTTGGCTTTGGAGCACTTAGAGAAGGAGGGGACACGCATGCGCACGCACGCACACACACGGCTCACTGGGGAGGGGCAGGACCCCCCAGAATTGGCTCCAGGGGGCGCAGCCGCCTGCATCTGGGAGAGGCCGCCTGGAGGAGAACTCCGTGGGTCTGGGGCTGCCCCTCGGAGGGCAGTTGGGGCCTCCTGCTTCAGGCCTGGAGAGGCATCCTCGGGGGGGGGGGGGGGGTTGCTCAACCCCGCCCCCCCTGTCCTTCCAGATGTGGCTCTGCAGCCCACTTCCTAGCAGGGGATTCGGCCGGACGCCCTGACCACGCAGCACTTTAGCGCCTGTCCTCCCCCTCGGCCCCATGAGGCACCTGAGTGCTGAGCCTGGACTTCCCTGCAAGCAGAGCACAGGCCTGAGCCAGGAGCAGCAACAGCAGCAGCAGGAGGAGGAAGAGGAGGAGGAGGAGGAGGAGCAGCAGCCGCCGCAGCAGCCCTGGAAGCACCATGGCCTCCGGATGGGCTGCAGTCCGCCAGAGCTGGGCAGCCAGAAGGTCTACCAGGTCTCCATCTTTTCTCCCCGGGGCAGCGGCTCTGCCCTCCCGCAGCACAGGGGCCCCCGACGGCAGCCCATCAAGCGGGCCTGCCCGGAGCCCCGGTGGGTGGCTGAGGGCGGCGAGTGGGATGCCAAGAGGGGCCACTGGGGGACGGCGGAGGAGGAGGAGGAGGAGGAGGAGGCGACCATCGAGGATGGGCTTCTGGTGGACGGGCTGGCCCTGGGGGGCGCCGCCCAGCACTTCTCCCACAGCGGCCTGCGAGTCGTAGAGCACCGGCAGGAGGTTGGTCCCGGCCAGCGCGGAGGCCGGGAGCCTGGAGCTGCTGAGGACCGGGGGGCAGCCCTGCTGGCACCCGGCAGGCTTTGCGCCACTTTGCACACGAGAGACTCAGCCCCCGCCTTGTGGGGGGAGCAGCCCGCCATGGACTCCAGGCCAGAAAAGAACGGAGGGCCCCGTTTCACACACGACCACGATTTGCACAGCCCGCCGTCCCCGTCCCCCCCGCGAGGGCCGCCGTCCCCGGAGGCCCAGGCCCCCAACACTCCACCCAAGGCCCCCAGCCTCAGCAGCGCCAATGGGCTCTGCTCGGCCGAGAAGACGCCCTGCTCCAGCGGCCAGCTCTCAGGAGGCGGCCCAGCCAGCTGCCCGGCCAAGAGGAAGCTGCTGCCCTCGGTTGAAGGGAGGGCAACCGCCACCGGCCTGGAGGAAGAGAGCCTTCTACCAGCACGCAAAAAGAGGGCCCTGCACTCCCCCGCCATGCCAGCCTCCTGCCGCAGTACCGATGCCAAGGGCGCCCCCTTCTGGAACCACCTCCTTCCCGCAGCCAAGGTGAGGAACTCCGCCCGTCAAAGAGGGCTGGGGGTGAGGAGCTGGGCTCTGGGCAAAGGGCCGCCTTTCTGTGGCGCCCAAGGTTGCCCGCTGGCTGGAGGAGGAGAGCTGCACTCCTCCCGAGTGCTGGACTGGCTTCCAAGGGGCGGCCCATGTCGGATGCTGTGTGGGCTGGCGCTCTCTCCCTCTCCTTGGCTTCTGAAGCGGGCAATGGAGTCGTAAGGGCCCGGCTGCTCCGAAGGGGGCCCTGGGGTGGAGCTGCGGGGTCTGACCTCTGAGTCTTTCGGCCTCCCAGGGCTCAGCAAGCGGCAGGACGGGCGCTTCCCAGTTGAGACCGGGGCTGCACCTCAAACCGTGAGTCCCTCCCCCCTTTTGAAGCCCACGGCACCCTCTGAACCACGCAGCCAGGTGGGGCAGCCACGGCTACACATGTGGCCGAGCCCCAGGCCCTCTCCCCCCCAGCACCCCACACCCTGCAGGGGCCAAGAGGGGCTGGTGGAGGCCGCCCCGGAGTGAAACTTCCCTTCTGCCCCAAGCAGGAGGAGGCAGCTGCGCAGCAGCCCCGGAAGGGCCCTTGTGGGCAGGCGGCCCCCCAGCACCTCCACCAGCCACGCCCTTCTGGGGAATTTTGAGGTAACCGTGCGGCTGGGGAGGCCTGGCCTGCCACCGCCTGTGGGGCCGCTCATGTGCCCCGTGAACGCGAAGCTGTGGGGTGGCTGCCTCCTTCCCACCGAGGGGGCTGAGCTGAGGAAGGCTCGGTTCTTGCTGGGGGGACATGGGGGGCTGTGTCCTGGTCAGGCCCCCCCATCTCCTGAAAATGCCCCCCTCACTCCCTCCCTCCTGGCAGGAGTCGATGCTGAAGGGGCGTTTCCCACCGTCCGGCCGGATCGAGGGCTTCACTGCAGAGATCGGGGCCAGTGGCTCCTACTGCCCTCAGCACGCCACCCTGCCTGTGGAGGTCACCTACTTTGACATAGCCGAGCACAACGCCCCCTCCCCGTTTCTGGTGAGGGGCTGCGGGGGGGAGGGGGGGGTGTAGTGGGGGGGAGGGCGGAGGTGAGCAGGCAGGCAGCTGGCAGTGGCTTCTCCTGCCCTCCTTCGAGATCCCGTAGGAGAGGGGGCCATGCTGAGGGCTGCCCCAGGGAGGCCCCTCGGCTGTAGGAGCACCTAGCTCAAGAGGGGCTTCTTCCTGCCCCCCCCCCGGCCACCCCCAGCAAGTGAACTTCACCTGGCCACCGGCCGCGCCCCTCCTTTTCTGACGTGGTTCTGGTGCCGCCTTTGTGCCGCAGGGAGTCATTGACTTGGAAGCCTTGGGAAAGAAGGGGTACAGCATCCCCAGAACGGGCACCATCCAAGTGGTGAGTGGCAGGTGGAGGAAGGGAGGGGGGCTGGCTTGTGGGGGGCTGGAGACAGCCTGGCGCTCCCCTCCCCCCTCCCCCCCAGAGCAGAGGGGGTGGGGTGCGGACAGAGGGCGAATGGCCCCTCGCCTGGCCTTCCTCTGCCCCTCCCCACTGACTCCCCCCCCTCCCCCCGCTTCAGACCTTATTCAACCCCAATAAGACGGTGGTCAAGATGTTCCTGGTGACCTACGACTTCCACGACATGCCTGCCAACCACGTCACCTTCCTGCGCCATCGCATCTTCCTGGTGCCGGTGGGTGAGGGGGAGGCCCCTGGCTCGGATCTCGCAGGGCAGCCCAGGCGGGTCCTTTGCTATCTGATGCACCTGAGGTGAGGGCAGGGGAGCCGGGCGAGGGGAGAGATTGGGTGGGGGGCTGGGTCTGGGCTTCCCTGGGCCTTCTGGGCTCTTCCTCGGGGCCATGCTGCTGTCCGAAATGCCCCTTGGGATGCCCCCACGGTCATCATAAGTGTGGAAAAAGAGTCCCTTTTTCTCAGTGCTGTTGTAACTTTGGAGGGTCACTAAATGAACTGTTGTAAGTTGAGGACTGTGTGGAGAATTGTGCTGGCTGCTCCCCTCTTCCCCCCCCCCCCCCCCCCTTGCAGGCAAAGGTCGCTTGCCCCCCGGCGGCCCCCCCCCCCTTCCCCCCCGGGCCGGGGGCCCCGGTTCCCCCCCCCCCCCCTGCAGGCCCCTCTGCAGAGCCTCACGCTTCCCTCCCCAGGTTCCACAGTTCCAAGTCGGGGAAGATCTACCTGCACGACAACATCCGGCTGCTCTTCTCGCGCAAGTCGATCGAGATGGACTCTGGGATCCCTTACGAGCTGAAGTCCTTCACGGAACTGCCGCGCAACCCCTGCTACTCCCCCCGGGCTTGAAGGAGGGAGCGGCAGAGCCGCCGCCGCAGCAGCAGCACTTCGCCCGAGCCAGCGGTGGGGAAGGGGGCAGGGGGCTGCAGACTCTGGAGCAGGGAGACCCTCGCCTGGCCCAGAGCTGCCTTTCACTCATTGGATCCAGCCCAGCCGGGATCACAAACGCAGCACATCTGGTGGCTGGTACAATTCTGTGCAGGGTGCAGGAGGCTGGGGGGGAGGGGAAGGAGAAGGGGGCGGGGGTTGCCCGAGGGGGATGGGCTCCTGCTGGCTTTGGTAGGTGGGTGGGGAGGGGGCCTGGGCACTTGGGCCACTCGGAAGCATGGGCAGAAGTGGGAGGTGGCCTTTTCCTCGGGGGACTTTGGGGGGGGGAGGAGCTCTTTTTAGGGACCGAGTTGGATCACCAGGCAGGAGAGACTTCGGAGCCCATCCAAGCTAGCTGAGAGAAGGGAGCTGACGAGGGCGCTGCGGGGGGAACAGGTCAAGCGTAAATGATCCCCTTTCCCAGGAGGCCACGAAAGCTGTAACTTGATTCCAAGGACAGGTGAGGGGGGGGGTCTTTCCTCCCGGCTGCTGCTTCAGGCTGCCTCCACCCCTGGACCAGCTGTACAGAACCAGGCCCCAGGGTTGCCCAGGGAGGCTCATGCTGGCCTGTCAGCCCCCAGCCCTGGTCCACACAGTGTGCGTGTGTGACCAAAAGAGAATTGATCTCTGGATGCATGAGGCAGGGCTTGTGAATCAGTGTAAGTGTTTGCTTTGCCTGTGACCTGAACTATCACCACCCCTGTGGGTGCTTCTGCCGAGGGCACCGACCAAGCTGGGGATGGTAAGGCAGGAGGGGCTGTTTGAGGGGCCCGTGGATAGCTTTGAATCTGTTACCGTTTGAGTTGGACCAGTTTAGAAGGAAGGAAGCCTTGCTGTGAAGCCCAGGCCTGCTCCCTGTGGCCCCAAGCATTAGGTTCCCCTGGTATCGGTTTGGGTTGGGTTGCACCTCCTACGTTCTCGCTCAAAAGGGAGCAGGTGTGATGAAAGGGGCTACAATTACAGAGACTTGAAAATATTTATATTTAAAAGGAAAGAAAGAGAGTCAGGCAGAAATGTATGGGATACTTTCTCCCTTCTCTTTCCTTTTTTTTTTTGGAACAAAAAAATCTATAAATGTGTGTTTGGAAAAAGTGTCTGTCTACCTTGATGTTTTCAAGAGGGTCTACTCCCACTGAATAGGGGAGGGGGCCTGGAATGAGACTGTTGAGGAGGTTGGGGCTGTTGGATGACCTGATTTTGGGTGGAGGGGAAGGGAATCAGCCCATTACAGTTGGAGGACAGATGCAATTGACACATTTACCGAACAATTAACACTTGTTGGCTATAAGGAAGCCTCATTCTCTACAACAGCGGGAGTTGGGCCAGACTGGCTAGTGAGGGAACAAAAGTGCCATGCAGTAAGTTTTGCAGCTGGATGATTTGTCTGCCCCGCCATCCCTGGAGGTTTCTGGCTATGCTGCATCGAAGTTTGAAATTCCCCAGGTGAGAAACAGCTAGAGAGAGAGAGACATTTTGTTGTGGCCTAGTGGTTAGAATGCAGTGTTGCAGGATAACTGCATTCCTACTGCCAGCAGTTCAATCCTGAGCGGCTCAAGGTTGACTCGGCCTTCCATCCTTCCAAGGTTGGTAAAAGGAGGACCCAAATTGTAGGAGGCAACAGGGGGACTCTAAACCTTTCAGAGGGGGCTGTGAAGCACTGTGAAGTGGTGTATAAGTCTTAAGTCACGGGTGTCACACTTGGATCGTGTCACATGATGTGACATGACTTTTTTTGCCTTTGGGGAACCAGGGTGGGTGTGGCCTGCGTGGGAAGCATCCAGCCTGTGGACTGCCAGCTGGACACCCCTGGTCTAAGTGCTACTGCTATTCCCCTGGACCCATCAGGAAGTTGCTGATGTGATGAAAGCCTAAGCTAATTAACTTAATTAAAACTTAGCAGCAGTCTGGGCAATTTACAGGAGCCCTGGTGGCACAGTGGTTGGCATGCAGTATTGCAAGGTAACTCACTGCACTGCCAGACGTTCGATCCTGACCGGCTCAAGGTCAGCTCAGCCTGCCTTCCAAAGTCAGTAAAATGAGTGTCCGGATTTTGGGAGGCAACATGTTGGCTCTATAAACAGCTTAAGAGAGTCTGGCTGCAAAGCGGCATGTAAGTCCAAGGGCAGTTGCTTCACTCTTGCATTCTTGGGAGACTTTTCTTCTGAGCGATCAATGTGGGTTTAAAGGGTGGCTGTGTGAATCCTTGCCAGCATCTGCCAAAAGGGCAAAAGGGGACACTTTAATGGGAAGGAAGGCGAACGCATCACACGTAGGCTTTATTGAATGGGAGAAAAGCGAGCCTAAAGGGCTCCGGCCTGTACACCCGGTGCTTGGAAGCCGCATTTTCCCTGCAGGAGAGACCCTGCAAGGCAAGAGTCCTTCCCCGCCACGAGAGAGTTCTGGTTTTCTCTTGCATGGAAATCGGGAAACGACCCCGCCCCCTTATTGCCCCCCCAGGCTGCATCCCTCCCTCTCGGGAGGCTCCTTTGCTCCCTCTCGGCGCTCTAACGGGCGCAGGCACGTGAGGGGCGAGCCTCGGATACGGAAGGGCCGGAGATCCCTGGGACGGTGACCCGACGGAACCTTCCGGGACTTTCGTCCAGAGGATGGCTGGGCCCCTTTGAGGGGGCGGAACCAGCGGCCTCGCGGAACGGTTTCCTCCCCGGAGCGTGACGACGAGGAAACGGCCGGCCGGCGCCCCATTGGCTGGGAAACAGGAAAGGGCAGGCTTTCTTCCCGGAAGCGGAAGCGCGGCGGAGGCTTCGGAGCGGCGGACCGGCGCTGGGCGGGCGGCACGATGTTGGCACTGCGGGCGGCGTGCGGGGTCTCCGGGAGGCGGCCGTGGCGGCCGTTGCTGCTGGTGCGGGGCGCTGCGGGGGGCGCTGGGCGGGGGGCGCGCTGAGGGGGCGTGGCCGGGGGTCGGTCCCTGCCCGCCAGCGCCCCTCAGCCTCTCCCTGGTGGTCTTGCAGGGCGCCCGGCGGGCGGGTCCCGGGCCGGCGCGGAGGAGCGCCTCGGGGCTGCCCATGAACACGGTGGTGCTCTTCGTGCCGCAGCAGGAGGCCTGGGTGGTGGAGCGCATGGGCCGCTTCCACCGCATCCTCGAGCCGGTAAGAGCCGCGGGAGGGGGGACACCCAGGAGGGCATCTAGTCGGGCTGCGTCGCCACGGCCGCTCCGGCCAAGCGGCGTCCGGCCCCCGCCCGAGGATCTCCGTCCCTTCCGAGCCCCCCCCCCCGCCATCCTTTGCTGAGTCCTCCCCCTTCCCGGTGGGTGGGTTGGGGGAGCGCTTCTCAGCCGCCCGGATCCCTTTTAGATGCACGGCTTGCGGGGGGGGGCGCCCCATCCCCAACGGTGAGCCGCTGCTGCGGGCCGCCTGCCCGCTGCTGAGCCCTGCAAGTTGAGGCAGCCACGAAAGCGCCGTTTTGGTCCTTAAAGCCAGCAGGCCTGTCGAGGGGGTGTGTGTGTGTGTCCAGCCTTTGCCTCCCCCCCCCCCGAAGCTTCTTGCCGTGGTTGGGACTGGGGGCTGCCTCGGCCGGGTGGCTGCCAAGCTCTGGTCAGCTGAGCCCTCCAGGCAGGAGCGGCTGCTCAGCAGAGCTTGGGCTCCGGCCTGGCCCTCCTCCTTACTTGCTCAGAGGTTGCAAGCCCTTCCTCACCCGCTTGCGCTCTTCTTACGGGTAGCCCTCGACTTACAACCACAACTGAGGTCAAACTTTATGTTAAGTGAGTTTTGCCCCATTTTATGACCTTTCTGGCCACAGTCGTTAAGTGAATCACCGTAGTTCAGCTAGTTACATGGTTGTTAAGCGAATCTGGCTTCCCCGTTGACTTTACTTGTCAGAAGGTTGCAAAAGGGGATCGCGTGTCCCCAGGACATGCTTCAGCAGTCCTAAGTGAGAAAAATGGTCATAAGTTGATTTTTTTTTCACTGCTGTTGCAACTTTGATCACTAAACAAACTGCTGTAAGTCGAGGACTACCTGTGTTACCTTTCCTGCCACGTGCCCAGACAAACTTGGAGCTGGCTTTGCATTTTTGTCAGTTAAGGGTGGTGGCGATGGGCCGCCTGAGGACCTGAGTTCCCCAAAACTGCCAGGCTATATGGCTCAATTAGCTATAGAACCGGATGCTAGCATGCTTGTGAGTTGTGTGGGGAAGGAATGAGCCCGTCTAAATCTCAGCTTCCTTGGAGATTGTCCACTGTGGGGGGGAGGATGAGCCCAGCTTTGGGGAAGAGGGTGGGAAGCACCTCTGGCCTGGCTGCAGCTGCTCTGTTTTGAAAGAAGAGGCCGGACGACTCCCTCTTTAAGGACGGACTAGATGACCTTGGTGGGGGCTGTTTCACCGGGAGGTTTTCCACTAGCGCTTGGACGGCCATTTGTCTTGGTCCCAACCAAGCTGGTGATGCTCGGATTGCCAGACAGCCGGAGAGAAAAGGATGATTCTTGCCCTTTGCTGATCCTTGCCAGGGACTGAATTTCCTCATCCCACTCCTAGACCGCATACGCTACGTCCAGAGCCTCAAGGAAATAGTCATCAACGTGCCAGAGCAGTCGGCGATTACTCACGGTGAGGAGCCCTGGGGGCCCCCTTGACCATTCAGAGATGAGCCCAACTGAGTTGAGGGGGCCTTGGTCGGGTGGGGTGGCTGGCCCCATTCATTCCTGCCGGGAAGGGCTGCACCACGGAAGGGATCCCACTCAGTACAGGGAGTCCTCGACTTACAACAGCTCATTTAGTGACGGTTCAAAGTTAACCAACGCACTGAAAAATGTGGCTTAGGACAGTTGTTCGCATTGACGGCTGTTGTGGCATCCCCAGGGTCCTGTGACCAGAATTCGGATGCTTGGCGACTGGTGTGTCTTCACGACGGCTGTACGATCCCAGGATTTTCTGACCACCCCCAGCTGGCTTTTAACCACCAAAGTCAATGGGGGAGGCCGGATTTGTTTGACGGCTGCAGTGATTGACTTAACAATGGTGGCAAAACTCATTTTAGCAGCTGCCCTGTTTACCGGCAGAAATTTGAGGCTCAATTGTAGTCATAAGTCAAGGACTGCCTGTAGTTGCCAGTCGGATATTAGCGGTTTGGTTTTCATGGTCCCTGCTGGAGCCTAATCCCTGAAGCGTTTGAGGGCGAGCCGCCCAAACTCTGACAAAATGTGTGGGCCATGCTAATAGGGCTGGGCTGCCTCATTGGAATGATTCAAGGCAGCCTGCTGTGACTTTAAAAACCCCTTTCGGAATGACAAGAGCTTCCAGGTGGCCTCAAGAGCTCTAAAACGGATGCAAATGACCAGCTGTCTGCAAGGGGTATCAATCCTCCCCCACGGTCCAGTCAGAGCTGAAGAAGCTTCTTGGATGAGAAGCAAAGTGGCTTCAAAGGAAATATATCATTCACTAGTTCAGTCCGTCCGGGGATTATTCAGTTGCAAAGTCCAGTGTCGAAAAAGAGGTCACTAAACTTCCAAATATCAGTCCAGTAATATATCTCCTCGCAATAGAGAGATGAAGTCAAACCTCCTTTCTTCCTTCAGCAGCAGGGAACACGCAGTTAGCAAACCATCAATCCATTAAACCAGCAGTCCTCAGGTTCTCTTGCTCCCTCTTATGGCGGTTTCACACCACACCCAGAATTACATGCTTTGCAGTTTAAAGTGACACACACTTAAACTTACTATCATAGTTTATATATATTTTACCCAAACTGCGTTAGGTAACCTTGTTATCCCTAAAAATGGGGTCCAGAGATGTGCTCGGACTGAGCATAAGAGCAGAAAGCAGCCAGGCCCCTCCTCTTGGATGGCAACCTGGACTCCACCTAGCCTGGCTCTTTAGCCCACTTCCTTGGGTGTTTGGTGCCTGTGGGGGCTTTTGCCCTTGGTGGAGAAGACAAGGGCCTTGGCTGAGCGGTCCAAGTGCTGGACTGACCCCTGGCCTCTGGGCCTTCCCTAAAGCTCCGCCCTTGGCTTCCGCTGAAAGAACTCCGGTGTCCTTGCAGATAACGTGACCCTCCAGATCGACGGGGTTCTCTACCTGCGCATCATGGATCCCTACAAGGTACCAG